GCTCTTTGGAGGAAAGCTCTAGGAAGGCCAATATTTGTATTTGCTGATTTCCAATTCTGAACCTGTCAGAAAGTATGCGGTTACGTGCAGCCTGTAAGCAAAGGCACATAACCCTCTCAGTGATAACCAAGTGAGAAATGGTTGCTGGTAGAAGTCAAAGGATCAACTGTGCACTGGGAGCCTGTGGAAGTTCTTACATAGGAAGGCAAGTGGTGAGGTCACTCAGTTGCAGGCCGGATCACTGAGGCAAACAGAAGTAGGCCAGTTTGTCCACACCACACAGCCCATTAGGTGCAGATAAAGGGAACCGGTTTCCTGCCCTGCACTCCGGTCACTGGACCAACAGTTCCCAACCTGTTCCTTGGGCAAGGCTCACGGCCACTTCCTCCTCCTCCTCTTTACCTAGTAGCCCCCTGCCCCTCTCCTACTCATGTTCCCAATTTCATAACCCTATCTATCACTCCTTAGACATCTGACAGCTTGTGACAATCTGTCCTTCCTTCCCCTCCCTGGGACCTGCAGCGCTGCCTTTCACGGAGCACCCTTTTTTTTGCTTCTCCCTCCCAGCTCCGGCCACTGCCTCCTCCTGGCAGCATCACCTCTTGCAGAGGGCCCAAGCTAACAAACCCAGCAAGGTTTCTTATCAGGGGCTCCAAAGCACACCCTTTGTGCTGATCTGCTCTGTTACTGAGGTTCTCTCTCACTGCGGGGAGCCAAGGGCACAATGACAACACATCACAGGCTATGCTTGCTGGGGTACACCTCAGAAGAAAGGTCATAGTTTTCAACAAACTGGAAATTTCACTCCCAAAATACATTCTGGAAACCTCACAGGTAAAGCAAACTTTCAGGGTCAAGGCTACTCCTTCCAGGATCTCCCCATGAACCACTGCCACCTAAGTCTGGATGGAGCTGGTAGAGAAGTGGTACTCAAGCCTTCCTTGCTATCCTCCTCCCCACGGCCAAGAAGCCAAACTGCACACAGCCTTCCTATTATTTAATCAGACAATCCTGGGATGCTGGGAACAGCACTGTTTACCACCTCTAGCAACTCTCCCTGAAGGGATAACGTTTCCAGTGGAAGAAATGAAGTTGGCTCTAATTTATAGCTGTCCCTCCTGGAACATAAAGCGTCCCAGGAATAACAGTGCTTAACAGTGCTTAACAGTGAATCTGGGATGGTCACAAGGGAAATAAAACCCGAGGTGGGGCTGAAGGACACTGTAAATGCAGTGGCTTCTATGGCTGTTTAGAGAGGCAGCGTATAGGACTGTATCGTGACTCCAAAGATGGCATGTACCTCCTTCGAAGGCCATAAGCATGTAGAAGTTGGTATTTTACTGGTTGCTTTTAAGGACTATTTGAATAAAAGTGGCACAATTAAAGCAGGAGTGAGGTCCAGAGCTAAGAAAGCACAACAAGGGCAACAGGGCAGGTGAGAGGGGCCTCCCACCACTGATTCAAGGAAAGGGAGAAAAGTTTCTCCATGCAGCAGGAGCCATGATCCACACAGAAAGAATCTGCCTCGCTTCTAGAAAGAGCCACTTTGAAATACTTCACATTCCTGAGTGGTGCTGCTGGACTTCTCAGTTGCTTATCCCATTTGCTTACAAACTTGCAGTATTACACACAAAAAGTTGGAAGAACTCTTTGGCTAAGACTGCAGATCATGCAAATGGCACGCGAGAGAGAATGAAACGGGGAAACAGCAGCAAGAGGGCTCAGCATTTCTTTAAGATTTTGTCCAAAGAAAGCCAGACCCGTTCGCCATGCTTTAGGACTTAGATTTATGACACAAAAGCTTTGTCTCCTCAGAAACAAAACTTCTCCAGTAACTTATTTCCACCCAGCAGCCCTGCCATTAACATTAGACACTTCAGCACTTCAACAGCTAAGAGCCTGCAGCCCTCTGAATACAAGAGGAGACACACTGCATCAACCTTTCAGAGCTTCACATGCTGCCTGGATGTTCTCTAAATACATCTTCCTTGCCCTCTGTCCTCCTTGTCCTAGCCTCTGTTTCATGTTTTAGCCTTTTTTCTCCCTCTTTCACAGCAAACAAGTAGGTACACTCCGACTCAGTCATCAGGCATACAGAAAATACAACCACTTAGTCCAGCAAGCTACATTTCACTTTGTCCTCCAACTCCCAGGAGGCACTCTCTGGTCTCCAGAACCCTAAGCGTAAGAGGGAAAATAATTATTCTTTCTTGAAGGAGCCCAAAGCTTCTCAAAAGACTTTCTCTGGCAAGCTGTCTTGGCTCCGCTTGCCATTTCAGCTCTAATCAACCACGTTCCAGAAATGCAACCATCCAAAGCTGAGATTCCTTCACTACCATCTTTTCAGTTACTCCAGACCACAGAAGACCCAACACAGGACAAACAACCCATCTTCTTCTCCATTTGTACGAAGAAACAACAAGCAGGTCAGCAAATTCTCTACTGTGTAATAAGTTGTGCATATGTCTATTGCTCTGCCATTTGTAATCTTCCTTCTATGCCCTGAATCTCAATCAGTTCTTCATTGAGAAGGTCTTTGTCCCAGATTATGTCTTGGCTCAGCTGTGAAGCACAGAAAACACACTGTCGCACAAAGGAAGGAATTACAGTTCTCCAGGAGGCAGGAAGAAGGAGAAGGGTTTGAAAGACGTCAATGTAGATTTGAGTCAGAAATTGCAAATGACATCATGACACGACCTTCCGCTTCCTGCTAACCCACACATCTACATTAAGACAAACGGCATAACAACACTTGACAAATATATAATATCTTTTATTAGGTAATCTCCAAGTTACTACGCAAACATTAATTAAGCTTCTTAGCACCCCTGAGAGGTAGGCAGCTAAGTATTACATCCTTCTACAGAAAAGTGTCTGTCTCAAGGTCAGTCCATGGCAAGAGCAGGATTACAACTCCTGTTCTCCTCTGCCTACTAGCCTGTATTACCTATGCTGGTCCAGTTTGCTCCAGCATTACATCTGCCTCAACTGGATGAGCTGGTGGAGTTAGAGTTGCATCTCCAGCTTAGTGCTGGAACGTGTAAGTTGTAGCACTGTGCTCCCAGTGCAGGTGGTTTACGC